GCCGGACCGGTCTTTCGACAGCTTTACTTGGGTGGTGGTCAAAATTATGGTCCCTTTTTGGGTCCCGATTATAATACGGCACCTATTAAATAGGGTACCCCAAAAAGGACCCTTAATTTTGACAACTACCCACCTGGAGACCCGAGAGTTGTCGTTTTTGGTGTTTTAGGCTGTTCGGGTTTGGGGAATGTGGGGTTCCTTACGGGGTCCATTCAGGCTTCCTTTACGGGATCTTTTAGGGGTTTAGGGGTTCTTGAGGGATTTGGGGTTATTATAAGGGGTTGAGGGTTTTCTGGTTTGGGGGTTTTCTGCGGCTTGCAGTTTAGGGTACAGCGACAACGGCACCCCGATTCAAAAACTACCTCTCCGCCCCATGCGAGGCAACAAACAAAAAGAAAGCCACCCCGTCACTCAGGCTCTGGCTCTTGAGTGTTTACTTGGGGCCCAGCAACATCCCTCGCTTTATGATTTGGATCGCTCATGCCGGTTCATTGATGTTTTTTGAAGAGTCATGTGCAGATTCAGTGCAGATATTCGAAGTTCAGCATGTTCTCAACACTTGTGATAGGCCTGAAGTGCGACTTGGTGCACATTTGAAGTGGCAGGTGTTTCATCATTTTTCCTGGCATGGTACCTCCCTTGTGGAAAGTTTGTTTAAGCCTCCGCGAACAAGGCGTAGCCATTTTGGCTCACGCTGTTTCAGATGACAGCTGTGAGATACTGCGCTCAGCGGTCAGTTGGCGTGTTTCTACTAGTCTGCGTGCTTCTGCGATGGTCAGGTTTGCCTGTGGCGCATGAGCCAGGCAAGCAACCCTGCAGACGTGCCACACTTACGTGGAAGGAAGGCTTCTGTGCCGGGAGACTTGTGCACCCTCGGAGACGTGTGCCTAGAGCCGCAAAGTTGCAGCGCGACACAACCCCATGGAAACAGATCGGTGTGCTTCCCTGGCTCACAGGCAAAGACGACCCAAGCTTCAGGGACAGCTACTTTGGACGTCAATGGACGATTCATCGCGGTTCTGCGAGGGTGCGCTTCAGCATCAACGAATCCTTGGGTCTACTGAATGACCTAAGGGAAGACACCTTGCCGGCTTGTCCAGATGGACATACTAACATACATCACTCGCAGAATTACCTTGGAGGTAAAGGCGACGTGGATTTCGCGTCATGCGCGCGTTTAGCTCGCGCCCCTAATGTCGATTTGGTGGCTACGTTGCCCAAGGAGAAGAGCGATGCTAGAAGAGTCATGTCGGCATCAATGAGTCGGGCTGACGGCTGGACCATCAAGGATTCGTTGGACTGTGCAGGTGTTTGTGCAATGTTGAGCCAGCGAAATCTGAGCTGCGATAGTGAACTTGCAGAGCATGGCGATGCCTGGACGTTCATCTTGAATGGTGTGCAAGCAGCCAACGACTGTTTACGAGCCCTGCACCATTCACTCTGGGCTACCTTATGCTTGGACACGCAAATCAATGCCTACTTGAGCGCTCCAGCGGCACAGGGGTTGAACATCCATTCTGATCCTCATGATGTCTTTGTGTTGCAAGTAGAGGGGAAGAAGCTCTGGCATATACTGGAAGGAGAGGAGCTAAGGACGCAAAGCTTTACTTTAAGCCCTGGAGACATATTGTACATGCCAGCTGGCCTTCTTCACTTTGCTGAAAGCATTGACATGTCGTCACTCCACATCACCATCGGTGTTCGCAGAGAAGATTGGGCCGCTTCTGCACTCCTGGCTGCGTGGATCGAAATTCATCCACACGGATCGCTATCCCATGGCAAACTGACAAATGATACAATGCCGAAGATGAAGTTGCTGCATCAGCGTGTTTCTAAGCACTTTTTTCCATGGGATTCATGCAACCAAATGCTTGCAACATCTCTGACTGTTCCTTTGCTCCGAGCCCTGGATGAGGCGGACTTACCACAGGGGCTAGCAGAGGGAATGACAATGACATTGGCGCACTTCGCCTCCGAGCTTGCTCTCAAACTGCGCGAAAGTGGTGATGAAGAAGACATGGACATTGCAGCCGAATTGGACGCCTTGAGCAGCAAGCCAGATCCACAGGCACTCTTGCATGTTGTCTTTGCTCTTCGCGAGTTCCGATGGAAGCAGCATTACGAGTTCAACAATGCTAAGAAGTTGCAGTTTCAAGGCACCTTTCCTGAATTGCGGGGCAGCTCTCGCTTGAAACGCTGTGCAGATGCCAGCGCTCAGTTGTCCACTACGGGCTTGCTGCTCAATGGCTATCACATTCTCGATATATCCGAGCCCGCGCTGCCAATTTTTCGATATTGTATGGGCATGCACACGGGTGCTGCTGGCGACGTGTTTCGTGTATGTGAGATTCCAGGACCGCGAGAGTTAGTCACTGCTGTTGTCAGAATTCTGTTGAGGTTTGATGGCTTAGAGCATCTCGTAGAAGAAAAGAGTTGGCAATCAGCAGCAGCACCGTTCTACCGTTGATGATATAAACCCTGCATGACCCATTATAAGGAATATACCATAGTTCCCATAGTTTGGGGCCCTTAAAGTCATGCAGGATTTGTATCATCAACCGCATCGGATCCAAGTGCACACGTCCTGGTGCTGTTTGGGCAGGTGTCCTCGCAAAGATCGTCAGGATTTAGGGTTCAAGGTTCGTCATTGCCGATGAGCGTGAGTTCCTTTGTTGCTCATTTCTGTCTTGCTCCACATGTTTAAGCATGTGTAAACCCAGGCCAGCCCTAAACCAGCACTAAACCCTTAACCCTAAGCCAAGATAAGCCAAGCATCTCTCGAGGTAGCCTGCCTGGCGTTCTTCAAGTGCCACACCAGCCTTGAGCATCTGGACGACGAGTTCAGCGTGGTCGAGCGGTATCTTGGCCCAAATACCCCGTATACCTTGGTTGGGGACTTGGATTTCTTTAGACCCGAAGGCCTATACGGATGACGGAGGAACTCGGGTACGTGGTCGGTCTTCTGTCTTACATATTCGTTTGTTGAAGGTTTAGGGTTTGGGGTTTAACTAGGGGTATGAATATTCCACAGTAGACGCGCGATTGCTATCCGTAATGGTCGTTTGGCAGTTGATATAAGTTCTGTGCTGGAAACGTCAAGCATGTTGTCGTTGCCGCTCCACATGCAGTAGATGACTTCTTGGAGCAGTGCTTTTCAGTATTCTGGCAACATGGTTCTGCAATGACTATCAACACTGTTGTTGCCATCGCCACCACCATCGCTACTGGTCCCCTTGTGAAGAAGATCATTTCAAGGATGCTACACTTTTCCCACATAGGCATGTGGAGCCGCAGGGTAGGATTCCCGTGCAGAAGTCACCCTAAAGCCTAAACCCTAAGCCGTAAACCTTAAGCCCTAACCCTAAACTTAGGGTTCAGGGTTTAGGCCCTAAACTCTGAACCCTAAGCCCTGAACCCGGAGCATGGCTCAAAGTGTTGCGAGGTTCTAATCACTAAGGCTCCTACAATATCCGAAAGGCCTCCTAAACCCCCCCTACCCTAAACCCTAAACCCTAAACTCTCAACCCTAAACCCAAAACCCTAAACTCTCAACCCTCAACCCTAAACCCTAAACTCTCAACCCTCAACCCTAAACCCTAAACTCTCAACCCAAAACCCTGCTTATTTTTTAAAGCTCCTAGATGCTTGAAGAGGGACTAATAACAACCCGATGGGGGAACCCAGAGCCGACTGGAACCCCCAGGGCCCGCGAAGGGTTTAGGGGTTGAGGGTTTAGGGTTTAGGGTTTGGGGTTTAGGGTTTAGGGTTTGGTGTTTTGGGGTTTAGGGTTTGGGGTTTAGGGTTTAGGGTTTGGGGTTTAGGGTTTAGGGTTTGGGGTTTAGGGTTTGGGGTTTAGGGTTTAGGGTTTGGGGTTTAGGGTTTAGGGTTTAGGAGTAGGGTTATAAGGAGGGTAACTATACTTTTAAACCACATTAGGGGACGTTTAACCCGACTTATAACTACCCCTGAACCTCCAAGTAGGGCACCGAAGGGTTTAGGGGTTTAGGGTTTAGGAGGATTTATGCAATCGGTCATGCGGACTGTCACGAGCCGAGACACTTGACGACTAAACGGATGACAATTCAAAATTTAGGTTAGGATTTAGGGTTTGGGGTTTAGGGTTTAGGGTTTTGGGATTTAGGGATTTAGGTAAGCCCAGGCACCAAATACTGATGGAAGATAAACCCTAAACCGCTGTCACAGGCGATTCGACCGCCTCGAGAAGATTGTTTCGGCCACTTTCCCGGGTTTTCGGGATTTGTGATTCGGGTTTCGTCGGGTTTCGTTGGGCTGATCCAGGGTCTATTTAGGGTTCACCAAGGTTTAAAAGGTTTACATCCGCTTTGATGGTTTTGGGCTTCATACAAACGCATACATGTGCCCTTCTGGTGCCTAGATCATGCTACCACAATCTATCCCGAAACCCTTTTGTAATTCCAAAGTCACCTAAAGGATCACTACGGAGATATAATCCTGCGTGGCCCATAATAAGGAATATACCATAATTCCCATAGCTTAGGGTCCTTAAGGTAAATGCAGGTTTTATTTCATCAACCGTATCCACATGATCAGGAACCAAAGTCAGCACTGAGCCGCGAACCTCTTCGGCTGTTTATCCGGAGTACTGTAGGGGCCTGAATCATTAGAATAGGGTTTGGGGTTTATTATACTATAAATATAACAAAGAACCACTAAAATAGTGTAGGTAATGATGAAGGCCTCTATATGAGTGCAACAAGGAAGTCTGAGACACGGAAGCTATGAATTCCGAAAGGGTTTCCACAAAGGTTCAGTGTGGTCCTGCTTTTGGCTGAGGAGTGTTTGCTTAGCAGAAGTTACGAATCGGAAGAGGAGGTTAGGGTCTAGGATTGCCAGGTAACAAAGGAACACATCCTTCGTTTACACAGGGACGTTATGACCAGACGCGGGATCTCAGATTCTTGAGTTCGAGGTTTAGGGCTAGTGTTGCCATTTCTGTGCCAGCTATGGATGACGCAGGCATGGTTGAGCCCTACACTGTTGTGCTACCTGCTGGTGGCATTTTGCCAGCATCGAGCACGGAGGATACTGGTGACGAGCCGGTTCCAAAAGAGTGTGACCCAGTTGAGCCTCAGGAGGCACCGCAGGCGGAAGAAGACTTGAGAGATGACGAAGAAGACCCGAGAGATGACCAGGACTACCACCTGCATTTAGCAGGGCACTTCAGCACAATGACGCTGACTTCGCCGACAATCCAAAGGGTGACATCCAGCCGTCGCGTTTTAAGCTGCTTTGGGCGAGCACTGCGACAAAGGACCGTCAGAGACAGGTACCATTGCAGCAGACCCGCCAAGAGGATATCGCAGTTTGTTTCACACAGTTGGCATGGTTCGGCATGGAAGAAGATCGCCACATTCTTCGTGCTGAAGTCCCGCAGCGGTGGCTTCCGGAAGCCTGTTTGCGTTGGTCATGGTTGTCTTGAGCATCTTCCAGATCCTGCCTGGCTATGATCGGCTACCCATGCTCGAGCCGGAGCGAACCTACGTCTTCGGACCCTGGGGGCTTTGCTTTGGGATGCTGGTTGCATTTCTCGGCTTAACTTTCTGTCAACGTCGTGACGAGGTTTTCCTGGATGTGCTATGCATCCATCAGACTGATCGGCGCCTTAAGTTGCAAGGCATCCAGAACATATGCGCCTTCTTGAGGAATTCCGACTCCATGTTGGTGTTGTGGGACCCCACCTATGTTGAGAGGCAGGGTCTTTCCGACACTGAACCCTAAACCGACCCAAACCCTAAAATCCGGACTTTTCTAGAGCTCCTGCAATCCAGCTTGCGGTCACAACGCAACTGCAACAACCACAAAAACGGAAGTGCTCGCAGATCATCAGAAGCTGAGGATTGATTAAACTTATACCCGACATTTTAACAAGTAACAGCCCACAATAGCAATGACAGTGCTGAGTGAGAAAGGTCATATGTAGAGAGTCAGACTCACAAGACCAACGTTGAAGGCTAACACTAACCATGACAGCAGCAAGAGCGTGCTGAGTGTGTTATTTTTGTCGCATAGCTTCAAACCGTTTCTCCGACTGGAGGCTTTGGTGCGCATGCCCCCCCTGAAAGCTGAGGACCTCAAGCGAACCTTGGCGCGGCAGCGAGGGAAAGCTCCTGGACCAGACGGGTGGCGACCAGAGGAGCTCTGGTATTGGCCACGCCCCGCTCTCGACCTGCTCGCGGCTTTCCTTAACGGGATTGAGGAAGGTAGTAACTGGCCACGGGCCTTGCGTCAATGGAAGCAAATCCACCTCAACAAGCCTGGCAAGCCTCCTGGAGTCCTCGAAAACCTGAGACCCATAAGTATCGGAGCCGCTGTTTACAGACTTTGGTCCGCCACCAGAGTCCGACAGCTGGGGCCTTGGCTTCGACGTCGGCTCCCTAACCAGGTGCATGGCGGGCTCCCCGGTAGGGGCGTTCACACGGCCCTCCTTGAGCCTCCCCTCCTTGAGCCTCCGGCTGAGGTTGAACTTGCCCAAAGGGCTCCGCGAGGCAACCTAAGGTTCTTTGGGGCCTCGGACTTAAGCAAGGCATTCGATGCACTGCACGGGGCCTTAGCTGTCCCGGCCCTTCAGAGGCTGGGGGTGCCTGCTCCTCTGTGTCGCGCTTGGCAGCAAGCGTGGCATCAACAAGAAAGGGTGCTCCAAATCGCGGGCATGAGCAGCAAGAAGGCTATCAGTGACGTTGAGTGCCTCCCTCAAGGTGACCCCGCGTCACCCGCTGCGCTCACAGCCCCGCTCGTGGAGTCTCTCCGCAGGATCACCCAGAAGTTTTCTGGGAATCGGCAGGGCCGGAGCCTTCACCGACTCTTCTTGGACGACAGGAGTTGGTTCTGCGAGAAGCGCAAAACATGCTTGGACATCGGGCGTGAGTGGCGCCATGAGGTCTCTCTGTGGGGTTTAGGCGAGAACAAATCCAAGTCCGATTTTGGCGTGATTGGCTCAGCCTCTGACCGCAGAAATATGCAAGCTGAGATCCGCAGACGGGAGCAGGTGGGGGAAGTGAAGCTTCGCCCGCGCCTTCTGGGCTCTCGCCTACAAACGAACAGGGCGCACAGCAAACCACAAGACGAAGAGCGAGACCGGCTCGCTGACGCCAAAAAGATGGCGGCGTGGGGCAGTCACCTGCCCTGCGATCAGGGCCGGAAGGCTTACTTCCTCAAGCAGTCTGCGGTGGCTAAGGCTGCTGCTCCCACTTACGTGAGGCTGGAGGCCCTTAAGGCTCTCGAGGGAGTTCAGTCTGTGATCAATCGAGCTATCCGCTCGTCTGGGCACGCCAGAGGAGGGAGTTTGGCCGACTTGTTCTTGGGGCATAGCGCTTGTCTCAAGTTCCGTCACGGGCATGTTGCTTCGGTCCAAGTTTTGACCCAAAGTCACTTGCCTGTGTTGCAAGCCGCTTGGCAGCAGAGTCGTTCCTACGGGCCCGTGGGCTTGACCAGGAGGTGGATGCAGAGGCACGGATGGCGAGAGGCTGGAGTCTTCCGCTGGACTCACCCAGCTACTCAGGTCACGTTATGCTCAAGGGCTGCCCAAGTCGGCCGACAGGAGAGAGGCATTCAGCTCTCTGAGCAAAACAAAGATGCCATCAACCATGCCCTGCGCGACGCTTGGAGGGCTAGGTGCTGGCTCACGTGGCTGGCGCAGGGCTCAAATAGGGCCAGGCCGCTGGCCGCTCTGTCTTGGCCCCAAGTGCGTGACAGGTTTAAAATGGCTGTCAGTATCTTGAACGAGCTCCCCTGCGAGCTGAAGTCTCATGCTCAGGCAGTCTTGGTGGGACACTTGGTGTCCCCTGCGGCATTCCACATCATGACCAGCCCGCAGGCTGCGATGATCCCTTGCCCCTTCTGCGGCTCTCAGGAGGCGCCGGACTTCGAGCACGTGATGTGGTCGTGTGAGCACTTTAAAGCGTCCCGACCTGACGGCGGCGCCTCTGACGCGTTGCAGCGCTGGCTCGCGTGGCCATCGCTGACCAAGGACCGAAGGGGCAACCTTCAAGTGGTACTTCACGCAGCTGAAGTTCGGAGGGGCGTGCTGCAAGCACGCCACGACACTGACACCTAAGGACCGGTGCCAGCAGTGCGGCAAGAGCGCCTCTTCGGGGCGAACCTCTACCGCACGAGCAACGACTACTACTACTACTGGAGGCTTTGGTGCGTCTTCGAATTGGCTGCCTTCCTGAAAAGCCGCGAAAGCGGGACAGCGACGAAGCTGCTTATTAGACCCACAATCCTCGGCCCCAGCTGCCTGGCATCCTGCATCTGCCTCTTTGCATTGCAGCTGGCTCTTCTGGGTGCTGTGCTGGATTGGGTGTTATTCGCTTGTCTGCATTTGGCGGAGCCACTACAGGCAGATTGACACCATGAAGACCCAACTTCAGAATTTCACCGTTAGCCGAACGAAAGCGCACTGTTGCGAGATAGGCCATGTGGATGCACAGGGCCGAAAAATTCCTTGCGACAAAGCAGTGATCACTGAATGCATTCTGCGCTGGTTTGGCTCCGTTGATGCGTTCGAGGATGATGTGAGGTCTGGCGTGGCAGCTGCGTTGGCGGAAGGATTGGGGAAGGGATGGTTTCCTTATCCTTATGTGCTTGCTGCCGGAGCACCCGTCTTATGGTGTCAGGGCGACTTCATTGCCTCCCGCCTGCGGGAGGGCGAGTTCTACTATGCTGGTGTCACCGCTATCAGTGGCTTCGCCTACTGGCTCGCGGCAATCCCCCTCTTCTTCGCCTGCAGTGGGCTTATCGTCCACAAGTTCCGCCGCAGGTGCACGACCCCGGAAAGAAGCCTCAAACCATATGAAGTGGGCGGCCCTAAGCCCCAAACCCCAAACATTCAGTCGTCCTGGGTAATTCGTTTTTTTTTTGTACAGTGTACAGGGCGGGTAGGTCTGTGCTTCAATCTCGTTGCCCAGATGGTGAAGGCGAAGCCTGCTCCCCATGGTGGAGCTCGTCAGGGTGCGGGACGGCGGCGAGTCATAAAGAAGGCCGCACACAGACCTGCTGGGCCAAAGAACCCGGTCGGCCGGCCGCGAGGCCCTGAACCCAAGTCGGTTGGCAGGCCCCGTCGTCCTCGCGGACCGCCCGGCCGTCCGCCTTTTTATGGTCCCCAGCTTCCGCCAAGACCGCCCCGAGCTAAGGGTCGTCCCCCCGGCCCCGCTCGCCCCCCCGTTCCTCCCGTTGTTCGTCCTGCTGTTCCTCCTCCTGGTCTTGTCCCTCCTGCTCCTGGTGTCCACGGACCACCACCGAGACCTCGTTTTTTTTTGGTTGGTCCGGGTGGTAATCTTCTGCCTCCGCCTCGTCCTCCTGCTCCTCGTCCTCCTCGTCCTGTTTTTTTGGGGCATCAATGGCAAGCTCGCCAACCCCAGCAGGGGGCGGCTGCCATGGCGGGAGCTCTTTTGGTTTTAGGGCCGAGAGTCCCTCAGTGGCTCTCTTGGGGGGGCCCTATGGTGGTCCAGGTCCAGTCTTGGTTGACTTGTACCGGATATGGAACCCACCAATAATTGGTCTCAGGACCGTTGCCCGGGTAGGCTGGTACTGCTACCACTGCAAACGCCATGGCCACTGGCTCAGTTCCTGCCGTGCCTACTATCGAGGCATCCTCAGACTCTTTGCTCATATGCAGTTTGAGGATGCCCGTTTTCAGGCAGAACGGATGGTGCGTCTTGCAGCCACCAATCAGGAGAATGGGAATAGGGTCTTCTGGGAAAGTCTTGTCGAATGGCTTGACAACCCCCAGTAAGACGGTAGTCATTGTTGTGTATGGATAATGAAGAGCATGTTGTTTTAAGTACAAAGCATGTAAGTAATTAACACTCTCTTCGATTCCCATTCTTCTGCAGGAGCTCAGCGCGCTATGGCAAGCGTCGCGACCAGAGCCTGAAGGTACAATCCCTGCCTCGATGCACTGGTGCCCGTCTTCGCTGCCTCGTTTCTGACTCTGGTTCCCATCACTGGCATATTCTGGTTGCTGACACTCGGCGAAATAACGACATGGTCTGGCCGACTGCCAAGAACTGCATACCGTGGTATGCAGTATATACTGTGATAGAAACTGCGTGACGATTCTTCTACGTTTGCCGACAACATGCTATCAACGTAGGAGCTTCCTCGCAAACGGATCACTCTGTTACAACTATCTCACGTAGTAACACACACACATAATATGCGTTAAAGAAAGCTATACAACAAGAACTGTAGCATGAGATAGCACGTCATTTCTATGTAGCATGCCGTGGAGAATACCTTGGCCCTACGGAGACTCTGTTTTCGGGTTTGCAGCCTCTGTGGTAGGTGTTACAGGGTCCAGGTAGATCATAATATGTAGGCCATCTAATGCCTTACCTGATACCCTAAGCCGCAATCCCTAAGCGTCATCTTATGTCTACTTGGTACATCATAGGACATAGGCCCAGCACCCGGAAGAGTTTGTCCGTGAGAGTCAAGGAGGGGGCTA